CCTGCACACAGCAACAAAGGCTCCGGTAAACGTGAAAGAGCCTCCAGACGAGCCCGAAAAGAGAACCACCAGAACAGAGGTTCGAGAGGATGAACTGCATATCGCAGTGAGGCGAAGGGCTTGCCAATGGAGGGCACAAACTCGGATTTAGGATAACTCGGATCTGGAAGAGAAGAGCTCAGATCTGGAACCTGAAAAAGCGGAAATGGAAGGGTGATGGAGGAGATGACAGAGATTGGAAGTTGGAGGAGGCAGTAGACTAGATCCAGTGGATCAGGGGGATCGGGTGGGTCAGGTGGATTTGGTGCCGTTTCTGGAGTCGAAACCGACATCGAAGCTCTTACATGAGAGACGAAATCAGGTGGGATGGGAGGAGATGGAAGGCTTGTGCTAAGCTCAGCCATGGAAAGAACACGAAGGGAAGGAGAAGAGAAGAAATCCTTGCCAGGGGACAAGGCCTTACCGTCGGCGGCGATTAGGGTTTTGCCTCCTAAATCGCCTTTTGCATCGTTTTTCCTAAAAAACAATCTCATACATATACATTATCATCAAATATTTTCGCGTCACTGCCTTTATGAGATTGACAGCTATGTACTAGGTATGTATATTATATATTCGAGGTGAACAAATGCTATTGCAATAAATTTTTGAGCATGGCGAATAATTGGATTAGAGAGGAGTGGGCACGAAGCGGATATCCGGTATTTTGGTGGTATCCGTGATTCGCTCTGTTCCGTTCGGATCAACACATGTCTGATCCGTATCCGCTCTGCACCAAACCATATATCCGTTGTTCGTCGGATATCCTCTAAAATCCGGATTTTTGTCGGATATCCGATCCGCTACATTACAAATTTAATTTTGTTATAAAAATATAAAAAAATTCAAATTTAACCCAAAATGACATTTTTATTTAGAAAATAATAAAAAAATAATAATTTCTTCTTAATTTGTTAGTCTCCAATATTGAAATAATTAATTTAATGAATACAAATTCACAAA